ACTTTTATATTTCACACATATATATATATGTGTGTGTGTGTGTGTCTGTGTGTGTAAAGAGACAAAGAACAGTCGTATCAACACTCAGTCTACCAAAGGAAACAGACCAAAGAAAATGAAAACGACAAAGAAAAAATTTTAAATGACAAAAAAAAGGAAAAAAAAGCATAAAAATAAAATGGCATCTACCTACAAACAATGCTCAATGTCCCTAGAAATTATACTATGACAGAATAGTAACGCTAACAAACCAGAATCTGATTAACGATTTTTATCAGTCACTGGATGCTTTTTGGTTTGTTAGCATATATATAATTTCTTTCGGGAAAATTTGTTTCTTTAGCAAACGAGTGTCAGGGATATTTAACATAAACTGAGATTTACGAAGGTTTTTCGACTCTGCCATCAAGAAAACAATCCAAAGCCTTTTATTCCACTTATTTACATAAAAACTGCACTCAATTCGTCCATTGTTTCTCCAGCTTCGTTAACCATTCTAAGACAATTCTTCTGTTGTTATGTGTTGAGATTATTTGAAAATTTCCTCCTTTTCAAATTCATTGTAAACTTCGGAAACCTAGAACCGAGTATTGGTCAATGCACTCAAATCCCAAAATTCTTCTAAACATCCATCTTTACATCTTTTTGTAGCTGCATTGTCCAGCAAAAAGAGAACACCTATCCGAAGCTTTCCACACCATTTTTGGTTCAGTGCCTCCTTCAACTGGTATAGTAAATTATAAGCAATTATATTTACGTACATAGGGAGTTCATTATATATATTTTTCATTTTTTGGATGGGGGTCAAAATAAGCAGGTTAATTTCTTGGGTGAGGAATGCATTTGAGTTGATAAAATATTTTTTTAAGCGTCATGATTTTAGGGTAGGTAAAGGACAGTTTTAATGTCCATCTCTGTCAACACAAAACTTTATTGCATAGCAAGCTTCCAAATTGTCTTCAAGTCCCGACAAATGTGTTCTTCAAAATAGTAAGCAGTGTTTATCAGGATCTGTTCAAAGAGCTCTTCCAGCCGTCTCCTTCAATCTGGAATATCAAAAGTCGGTAGGTTAACTTATATATATATTTATTATACTTACTTAAACGTTATTTTTAATAGATACTTGTAGATGCCCCGTTTATTTATTAAACAGTATATTTATTTATTTTCGTCTACCGGCCTGAATATTCGAGAAATCTTATTAGAAAAAATATGCCCTATCCGGCAGGATTCAGAGGGTTTGCGACCCAATTTTTTTTTTTTTTTTTTTAAGCGTTTCACCCCAAGCAAGGCGAAAAGCCACAAGGACGCAAGGGGTTACAGAAGATTTGGAGCAAGATCAGATAGAAGTGGTAGAGGAAAGGATGAGGAGAAGGATAGTGGATAGATCAAGACAACTGGATATATCGATTGACATTACATATGAATAGCTGGAGATTATAGCTCTCAGGGAAACAGGAATAGAGAAGAGAGTTCCACAGGTGAGAGGTGCGAGACATGAAGCTATTGGAGTAGAAGAGACGGCTACATTTAGGAGTTTCGACAGTGAAGGGGTGAGAGCGGGATGCCATATAAATACATAATATATATATATATATATATATATATATATATATATATATATATATATATAAGAGAGAGAGAGAGATAGAGATAGAGAGAGAGAGAGAGAGAGAGAGATAGAGATAGATAGAGAGAGAAAGATAGAGGGAGAGACAACAGAGACAGAGAAAGAGAAAGTGATAGATTTCTAATTTTACTTACTAACCTCTCCATTATATTAGAATATTTTTATGTATGCGCCGACGATCTTGTTGAAAATGTTTTGATGCTAAACTGACTCCATTAAAAACCGACTCTCGCTTTTGGTTCGATTGAAGGAACATAAATGCTTTCTAAATGATATTCCCATTGTAGGAATCGTCTGTCACATTAACGGATAGCCTTCACTTTTTATCGTGCAATCTTGCCAACTTCTCCTCAAGACAACAGAAATGCATATCAACAATTATGCGACCAGATTTTTAATGAAGGACAACTCATTTTCGAATCGTTATGCCAAAATGATTGCCATTAATGTGATATCAACGAAAGGCAACGGAATATCAATATAGGATTTTAAAAAAACACATTTTACCAAACGATATAATCATTGGCATAATCACATTTACCCAAGTTAAAGGTCCATTATTGATTATTTGCTTTATAAATGCGCACACCCACTCACCCCACCCCAACGCGCACACACACACATACATACATATATATATATATATATATATATATTTGAAGTTAACCTGACAATGCAAAATTTTTTACCATTTTTTTTTGTTTTAATGATGACATGTTTTACACTTTCGTTTGAAATGATATTATGATTCATTCATAGTCAACTTTCAGACGCCTTCAAAGAATTTATTGATTCTCTGAATGGAGAATTCTTTCGCAAATGAACTGACAAATTGCTGCCAAATTTGAATGAATGGATGGAGGCGAAAGTGAATATTTTTAACAAATCAATTTTTAACATCATTTTTTCGATACATTTTGTTTGAATATTTTAGCAGTTTCATTTAAACCGAACTGATTTGGCTGAAAACGCACCAACACACACACACACACACACACACACACACACACACACACACACACACACACACACACACACATATATATATATATATATATATATATATATATATATATATACGGATAGATTTTTTTTTACAATTACTAGAAGCAAATATTCGATTGTTTGTACAAAATCAACTTTGTGGTAAAAAAATGTGTCAAAATATACAATATATTTGTTGCTATGTGAGTCTGTAAGTGTGTTTGTGTGTATATGCGTGTTTGTGCACACGTTTGCCCCTGTGTTCCTTGTACGTATTGATTGATGTGTTTTTTACGGTTTATCAAACTTTTGCAGGTCATTTGAAGCCAGAAAGAATCTAAGATTTTTTTTTGCGATAATAATTATTTACTGATGCAAATAGTCCTCCTAATTAACCCATAGCCGAGGAGGGGAAGAGGAGGTGGTTTCATACGTTGCCCTGAAATATTTGCGAGTAAGAGAATATAACGAACCCGATCGGAATTGGAACTCGGCTCCTCGATTTACAATTCTGAGCTGTTATTCATTACACCAGCCTCACGCTCAAGTTTACTTAGTATTCACAGTCACCCATCTAGATACTTGCCAGGCTTGAACTTGCCTAACTTCGATAATTGTATGAGAACCGTTGCTTCAACGTTGTATGGTCGTAACCACGTGTGTGTGTGTCTGTGTGTGTATCTGTACGTGTCTGTGTCTGTGTTTCTTTTGTATTGATTTAGTTTTCAAAGAGTTAAACAATTTCATCTTCGGCTTTTAAATCTAGAGCACTATGTGGTTTCAAGTCTTTACGGATCCCTCAGTATTTAACTACCTCGCTGGCCACTCTCATTGTGTGAACGGATCTCTATTCATTTAAATATCGGAGTTTTATGCTAATTATTGTATTTTACACAAGAAGCAGAGATAAGCTTACTGGATCCTTGAATACAACAAGTTGTTCTAATGTGGGATATTGAATAAACTAACTTAAATTGGGTCCAAGCTCTAAAAAGAAGAAATGCTTACGGTTGTATTTTTTCTTGTACCAATCTTCTAATTAAGAGGAACCTTGACTATCGACATTTGAAAACCTGAACTTTAAATCTGTCTACTTGCTACGTTTGGGAAAAAAAGTTCATCTCAGATACCAAGAAGACGCTGATTGGGAATCTAACATCTAAAGGGACAAAAATCATATAAAAATCTATTGAATCAACCAATTCATCAGTCTTTGAATTTGTTTATATGTAATTTTAAACAGTAAAACTTTTGAAATCTTTGAAATCTACTTTATAAGAAAAATTAAAATTTCCAAAGGCATATTCAGAGGATTTTAATTTTACGGGAAGCACAGTTTGACAGTATCAGCGATCCGAACTGTTTGACAGCTTGACCTTTTCGAGTCAAGGGTCAAAAATCATTTACTTCCTTGTCCTCATAATCTCCATTTCCCGCCACTTTCTTTGTTTATAAGAAAAATCTCATTCAACATTACAATTCTGACTTTTATCACAAAGTTGATTTAGATAGCTTTTTACTGATTTTTTCTTGCTTTACTTTGAATGACACTTAAGATTTGTGTTGGGTGAAAATTAGTATAGAAACGATTTAATTTTAACAGCAACTCCTGATTTTCCTTTTATCGGTACACTTTTTTGTTGCATCTTTGTCTTAAAAGCAATAAAAAAACATTACCATCTGCGTTTTCGTATTAGTCTCCTTGATCATTAATATTTTATTAAGTTTGATCGTCGCTTCATGCTCCACATCTGTAGCCTTGTGTCAGCCAAAGATAAACTTATTGTCTTAATATAAGATGCTTTACTATAAAGTAATTACCAGCTAGCTAATCTCGCAGATCATTACTACTTGGCTCTTCTAAAGAATGGCACTCTGGTCTTGATTGGCTTCAGTTTAGTAAATACCTATACTAATTCTGTTTATGGATAGAGTCTGTATTTGATTCGTTCGATGAAATGTTGCTTTTCTTGTCATTTGATATGATCTTGATAGCGGGTTGAGACTTTTCAAAATGGAAGCTTCAAGATAAAATTGTATTCAAGAAAATAAATAGGTCGGATAACTGTTACAGAATGTGAAAGCCAGGGCCAGAATGGTCAGCGATTGGCATCGTGGGCGGGGTATTTTGACAGTGATGGATTGCCTTTGTCTGGGTTTTAAATGTCCAAAATGGCGCGAATTCAACAGGGGGTCTCGAGAATTCTGAAGCGTCGATACGCCTCTGACACCTAGGTTAGCGACCGGCTAAGTCCACCCACGGAGGGACGCTGAGCCAACATGCGACATACGTTCCTCTGACATCACTCCTCCTACTGCCTCTTAGAATCTGCCACTACTCTATCCTAATAAAACAAATAAGAAGAAGAAATGGTACTTTTCTTTTTCACAGAAACATAATTGTAACATAATTGTTGATATCGATTTCTGGCTCGGTCATCTGAGCTGTGTTATTGTCATAAGAAGAAAGGAAAGTCGATTTGATCTCGTGGTAAATAATAACTGTTTGTGCATAGCTTCACCGGAAATATTTAAAAGTCCGTATATGTTATCTGTAGGGATGCGTCGATTTTTTAAAAAGTTTTCTACATTGATAAATTTGGTGATATTTATAGCAAAAAGCAGAGGCAATAATCCTCTTAAATAACAATTTGAAACAGCGAAAATCTTTGAAGGCCAAGTTCAACGACAGTATTATCAAACAATACAGTCAGCCGATCTTGGTCAGATGTGTGTGACTCAGTTTCAGTGCATAATAAAGGTCACGTCTCTCTTCCCGGCTTTATTATGGACGCTAGCATGTCGAACGAATCTTTGAAGTAATGTTCTTTCATGCCTATGTCTGGCAGATTTATTATTACCTTCAAAAGAAAACAACAAAAAACAAAACGATTGTAGTATTTTATTTTCGAAATGCAACCATGCAGGCAAATGAAAGACAAGGGAAACGAATGTCAGTTGTATTTCAGATTTGAATAAACTGCAGTTTGGACGTTGTTCTTTTTGTCTTTTATACAGAAATAACTTTGAAACCAAACATATATAACTTACAATACAGCCTTAATAAAGGTTGACAAAAAAGTGGTACAACCTGTTATTGCCATTGATTTGATTTGTCAAGTGATGATGAAAAGGCACGTTAAAGTATTCTCCCATCCAGTCTGTATTCAGTAAGTCATGACGGTATGCCAGTAACGAGATATTTTTTTCAATTTGATAGGATAGTGGACAAGGAGAGATATGCCCATGTCTTTCTCAGGGGTGTGGAATAGTGCTAAAGGAACACTAACAGCGTCGATAGAAATTCGAAAACGCTTCGCTTATTCTGTCTTCCATATTCATAATTGTTGCCTTGCAACTGCTGAGATAGATAGATAGATAGATAGATAGATAGATAGATAGATAGATAGATAGATATATATTCGTATTATATATGACAATTATAGACTGAAGTGAGCTTTAGTAATTGGAAACCGAAAAGATGAAAGCTATTTAATGACTGCCTCTACCTTTTCATATATCGGTTTCTGTCAGTGATGAAAATGTTTTGGAAAGCACTGTGGTCCCATGTTTATCATTGCACCACAATGTAGGCCATTTTCGAATGCATCCGAAATTAACAGATGATGTTAAAGTGAAATCAATTGATTAATTAATCAAGACAAAACGGGATAAGAAATCGATAATAGCTGCATACTAATTTCTTTTATTCGAGAGAATCGGTTTTCTCTAGACTAGAACAATTATTTCTTATTTGTTCTTACGATTTCTGAATTTGGTTCACTCTGGGAAGAATAACGTCTATTGAATCTTTACAGCTCATTGTGCAACAAACGAAAAGGTTAGGAGTTTTTCTCTCTAGAACATGATCAATGACATTCGTTACTACATATTCATTGCACCAGGCAAGAGGTTTATTTACAAGACAAACCAAAAGAAATACAACTCAGTATGTATTGCCTGAACAATATCGTTGAATTTTGTTTAAGGTCCCCTCAATAAACAAAGTTTTATTTTTTGTTCTTGTTTCCTTTACTTGCGGGCAAACCTGGTTGTCAGGCACACAAAACGAATCGTCTTAATTGTGAAATCGAATTCCTTTTGGTCGAACAGCCATTTTCAATCAGAAACTTGTGATGCTGGTTTTAATTTAAATTTGGACCTTTAAGACTGGCGCGTTACGATGACGTCGATGTGCTAGATAACAAGCTACTCGAACGCTAATTCCTGAGCGCATGTTTTTATTTTTAAAGAGATTTAAACACTCTCCGTCTTCACTCATAGATTGTCGTTCTTTGTATATACATAGTATATATTTCCGGTCAAGATGCATCGCAATCTTTCTGTCTGTCTGTCTCTCTCTCTCTCTCTCTCTCTCTCTCTCTCTCTCTTTTATATATATATATATATATATATATATATATATATATTTCAATCTGCTGCCCCCATACACTATATATATATATATATATATATATATATATATATATATATATATATATATATATATTTAAACATATATTGTTAAATATAACACACAACGAATGTCTATTATCTTTTATCATGATCCGTACTAAACTTCGTATAGTGTCTTTAGTTTCAAGAAAAAAATAAAGACAAAAGCTGTCCAACATTTGGATATTTTTTATAATGTTCCTCGTTCTAAGCTTCAGCTCACATGAGCCAACATCAGAGTAGTTATATGGACATTACAGCAGAGATGTACACCATCAAAGACATATATTTGTGTATTTACGCAGCAAATTCTCTATCACGTATGTCTGAATGAATAAGTTACAAACGTTATGTCTGCATATATATAATGGACTCTGCCGTCGGTTTCGACGTATAAGGATCTGGCAACTTAACTGATTCTGTTATGAAATTTTGTGCGATAATCTTGAGTGGCACTTAAGACCCGCGAGTGATTATCAAAGGAGGCCGCATATGGAGCAAGTGAGGATTATGGGATGAGATCACTGTTAGATTAGCTGGCCTTTTAGATCTTGCTCTCGCTTCTTGAAGACGATTCAGACAAGCAGATTGAAAACTGCTGAGTCCACTGAAACACGTTGATCTCCATTCTACCCGTTCCAAGGCTAAGCTCTCGAGGGTGTTATGAGGTATATTGACAGCTGAAAAGTAAAAACTGAATTTACTTTATAACGTGGAAGATTTCAAGCTTGGACGAGAATAATAGATTCTATTGATCAAGTAAGGAATGGATTTATTATCGAACTGTTTTTTAGAACTGTTCCATCGTTTTTGAAATCACTTTTGGATTTGCCTTGTAACGAGAAGGACTTCAAGCTTGTTGAAGATATAAGAACCAATTGATCACTACGTATTCCGACATCAACGGAAGAGATTTCTTGAACTGTTTATAAAATTTTTCAATCGACTTTTTAATATTTTAATTTTGGAAATCATCTTCGAATACGTTTTAACAACATCGCCCACGTGACGACTACGTGATCATATTTAAACAGAACGCTGATCTGTATAAAATTTCAGTTATCTGTGTGAATTATTTGGGCTCTTATGTCCATCGTCTTTTGTGTTAAATTTTTATAAGTTATAATGTTATTTATGTTTAAATGAAAAAGTCCATGAAGATGGTCTTAAATAGACCGAAACGTCCGACGTCGACTTTATTTTAACATTAATACTACATAAATGCATATTCAGATTTTTGTTTTTTCTGTATTTTCTTTCATACTGTCGGATTTATATCCATATATTTATATATATATATATATATATATATATATATATATATATATATATATATATATATATATATATTTGAATCTGCTGCCCCAATACACTATATATAATGAGCAAACCTGGTTGTCAGGCACACAAAACGAATCGTCTTAATTGTGAAATCGAATTCCTATGTGCTAGATAACAAGCTACTCGAACGCTAATTCCTGAGCGCATGTTTTTATTTTAAAAGAGATTTAAACACTCGCCGTCTTCACTCATAGATTGTCTACAATGTTAATTCTTTTCAGAAGACCATGTCTACACTTGATAGCTTTTTTATGTTTTTCATTCAGAACTTTATTATTTCCACAATTTATACCTGAACCAACGCCCTGCAATGCGCGCGTAAGTGATTCTTAAGGCCACCTTCAATTTTACAACCTCTCTTACGCACATGGCAAACATAAAGTTTTGTCTCTGTTACCTTTGTTGGAAACTTGCCTGTCCCTGAGTACAATCATGTGACGTTTGAGTCCCGCAACAGATTACAAACCTTGTTACAAAACTTGCGCAAGTCACCTGCAGGTCCTTTTTGGTAGGTTGGCATTCACGGGAGTTGGCACCTGACTTCTCTGGTGTGATATCACGTGACCGGTTAGCCAGCCGCCGAGTGGATTACTTTCCCGCAAATACTGCAAATCAGTTGGTTTCCTAATATATATAGTGTGACCCCAAAAAACGGGAATTTTTGAAGTGCGTATTGCCAGACATGAGCAAGTGGCAACACAGCCAGACAGTGACCTTGAGCAAGTAAACATTTCCCCATTTAGAATTCAAGACGAAATTCACAGTATCCTAGCTGAGATGTTGCAGCAGTCCATGAGGAATCCCAACAGCAGATTTCAAGAATGCATTCGTACAGGAGGACGCCATCTACAGGACGTAATTTTTAAAAAATGAAAATTCCATCACTGTTTCTTAAATGTTATGTTTTAAGGTTTCAATTACTATGAATAAAATATTTTTCTTCCATCCCTCTTGGTTTTATTGGATTGTTAAAAAGTTCCCTTTTTTTTTGGGGGGGGGTCACCCTGTATATACAGTTTCAGTCTTTTTTGCTCATATCTCCCCGTGTCGATCAGAAACATCGTTCATATTTTGTCCACATTAAACGTAACAACTTATATGTAGCTATGTTGTTACCAAGAACATTACAAATTGTAACAATAATTACAGAGGATTCTTTTAAATAATCATTTTAATGTGTATTGAAATAATTTAAATAATGGAAGTTTAAATTTTTGTATTCATCGCAAAAAATAGTATAAATCGTTTTTTAAAAAACAAAAAAACTTTTGTGTATTTAAAGATTTTAGACTTTTAAATGTCAATGTTTGTCATTTTAAATTAAATTTACTATGCCTGATGTTTTCCGACAAAAAATTCAATTCTGTAATTAAAAATCTTTTTCAAAAAACGTAGCTGTTATAGAAATACAGAATTTTACGAAAATTAATTGATTTTATGATTACGTAACCGCATTTAGAATAATATCACTATTACTTTTTAGCTTAATTCAAAAGCTAAATGGCCATTAATTCAGCTTTCCTGTCCATATGAGACGAAAATCCGTTTAAATTTTCGATTTTATAATGGAACAGCGGAAGTATCTCGTCTACAGACGTGATGTGACTTCCCTCTGTCTTTTCTACAAATATTTTCATAGCAACTGCTATGACGAGCTACTTTCACTGGTACCCCAACTGCATGAATTTAAGAGTGCTACTAGGTTGGCATCTCTGTCCCACCCTTTCCCTGTCGAAACAGTTAAATGCCACCGCCTCTTCTACTCCAACAGCTTCTTCCCTCGCTCTTCCCGACATTCGAACTCCCTTGGTCTTACTAACTTCCCCTGATAGCTATAATCTTCAAATATTTAAATGTAATGTCAATCGACATCTTCTGATGCCTTGATCCTGATCCCCGTCCTTCTCTATATCCTTTCCTCAAACATCCCTCTTTACTCTTGCTCTCAATCTCTGTAACCCCTCGCGTGTTAGTGGCACTCTCGCCTTGCTTGGGGTGAAATGCTTAAAAAATGTAGGATAAAACCTGATATCACGCACAATGCCAAAAGTATATTCTCAGCATTAAAACATTGCCATATAGGCAACACTCTATGATAACATGATATCAGATTTAGGATTTATTAGACTAATACGTCAATAATTTACTTTGATACCTATACCACCCGAAATTAATTTTATTTACCAAAACATCATGGAAAAATATATAAAATCATAATTTTCGATTCCCTGGACGGCCGTCTAAATTTATATGACGACAGTTAATCAGATCGACAAAAGAGAGAGGAAGGGAGTTTGCTATTTACTACATCATAACAGGCGCTACTTATTGAATCGACCAAAACAGACGACAGCAAATGGGACAAAATTGCTGTAAAAGACTCAGATAAGATATAAATACGTAGTCAGATTTGACCCAATATAAACAAACCTGTCTGTTATTCTCTTTCATTTCGACAGAGATTTAGATTAAGAGGATTGGATTATCAACGGAGATGCAGATTATCACTGATTTAAATTTTACACATTTAGTATTGTTTGTGTTACTTGTTTTTTTTTCTCTCTCAAGACCTCTCCCTAAATCTCGTCTGAGTCAATCGTTTTATTTTTTCTCACAATATCAGTGACTTTAATCACTATAATTTTACGCATTGTTTAGAAA